AGATATTCTGGATGCAGATTTCAGGGTCGTTAGTCACTATAGACCTTTCTCTACTGGGAGAAGAAAGGAGGAGATGCGGGATGAGTGTCTGAAATGCTATTTGCAGCAGTATTGTGCTTTCTGGTGGTCTGATAACAAGCACTGTAGTTTGATCTGGTAACAAACGCTTGAGAACAAGCAGTTCTGAAAGCCAGAGCAGCGTGCTGTGTGGCTAAAGGGTTTGCGAGAAAGCCTGATAACACAGACGCAATTACACGCTCCTCCACAAAGTTTTCATGTAGCCACGGGCAGGTTGACTAGTCTCGTCTTGGTTTCCCCACCTTTCACAAGAGGCTCGTATTTTCCTTCCTGGATGTGTTGTGAAAAAGAAATCTCTAATATTTTGGAAGTATAATTAAACCCGCCTGTGGAAAGGAAGATAGATATCAACAGGAGGACCGAGCCCTTGCTTTGGAAAGATGACTTGCAATTTCAAGGAAGAGCACAGAACATCAGAAGTCAAAAAGGCATATTGAAATTTTCGAGAAGCAACGCTGATTCAGAACATGTTATGTTTGCAGCTGCTGGGGTGTGAAACTTCTTCCATGATGTGACAACCAGCATGAACTACTTCATTGCTCATAACAAATACAGACAGACAGATATCAGGGTGAAATGAAGGGCAGGGGCATTTGCAGACTGACAGAGAGAACCTTCTACCACATGCTGCTTGGAAATAAACGGGTCTTAATCAGCTCTTCTGCCTTTATCTTCAGAGAACCTTTAGAGTTAATATTCTCCAGTGGAAGACTAAAACGCTTTTAGGAAATGCATGTTGGTTTATGAGAACCTGTCTCTATTTTAAGGAGGTTGTCTAAAATGCTAATGTTTCTCTTTTCATCACGATTCACGAAGCTTGTGGCTTTCAAAATTACCATTTCAGTTTCAGTCATGGGAATTGGATTACTTCATTCCCTGTCCCTTCTCCAGTTTTATCAATCAAGAAATTTGTTGTTTCCAGCCTACATGAACATGATGCCTATATTCCTGGCCTGATGATCCCCACTGGTTTTAAATCAAGATTGAGTTCCCTGCCTATTAGATGCAGCAGCACCTGTAGCAGTGCTAGGCATGGAAAGTGCTCCCGAGGGTATATTCACACATAGCTTTTAAGTCTGTTACTATAAAAAAGAAAATGGGATGAAGACGGTGTCTCTGAAAATGAGTGGAAAGACAATATTGCACTTTCACCCACAAGTGACAGGGGTATCTGAGTCTGTGTAGTAAAACATTGAAATCTCTGATCAAACAGGCAAGGCCTTGAAAATGAACTTCTGCATTACAGGTCTTACAGAACAAGCAGTGTAATGCCTTCCTTGCTTGCACCCGGTAGCTACATTCCTACAGGTTTGAGTTACTAGGGGATGGAGAAGGTGGATTCATAGTACCACTGCAGTCTGTGAACTTTGCTGAAGCCTTAGGACTTGGGATGGTTATCCAGGAGAGGGTCAGCCGTAGAACCAGCTAAACAGTGCATGAGCAAGCTCAGATAAGGTATTACCCACTTGGCTGGGTAAGATTCAACAATGCATTTTGCTCACTCCTCCAGCTGACTGGGATTGTCATGCCATGATCCTGAGACGCTGTAGTTACTCAGAGTGGTTTTCCAAGAAAAGGCGAGAACCATTCATTTCATAATCTAAAAATAAATAAAAGCAATTTCAGAAAAATAAAAAAACCAAACCCAGGATGTGCTCAAATGTCATGAAGTGGTGTTACGTGACAAAGCATCACCCTTTTTACCTTTGCAGGATGTATTCAGGGAAGGTCTTACCAGTGCCAGTCAAACTCAGGCAAAACCCCATCCGTTTGCACTGATGAGCTAGTGTTTATATTTATATGGCATCCCTTGCTCCTAAATAAGTAGAAGGAACTTATATATTGCCTCGAGTACACACTGCAGAGCTTTGCTTTTCTGCTGTCCTTTTCACAGTGAGCACCACACCGACAGAATAGCTGTTGTGAAAAGTACCGCTAATAGGGGTTTGTGCCCAGAGAAGACGACGCCTGTTGCCTGGCCTTCTCCACACTAAACAGCCTGGGGGTCCTGATTCAGTTACATACATTAACTGCTTTCCCACAACGGAATCGCTGTGCTTAGACTTGTTCCCAGCACTGACCTCAGCTTCATGTGGGCTCTGACAGATGAGGAGCACCAGGAAGATGCAGGACAAGCGCAGGCTCTTTATGAAACTAACTTTGCAGCCCCTTTCCCAGCACTGTTGTTAGCAAGAGCTGCCCTCAAGGAAGGTTACGGCAGGACAAAATCCAAGATGGTTTTGCACAGAACGGAAACTTTATCTTTTATTTATATTAAATAAGCTCTAATGGATGGGCTTGTGAGGAGCACGCTTGTGACTGGCCTAAGCAGTGGCAATTTTGAGCTGAGCCCACTGAACTTGGGCTTCTTAAAGAATTTCAATTTCAATTTGTTTATATGTGGTAGAGTCTGTCAGAGGTTAGCTTGCTGTTTATTTCAAGAGATGACGTAAGCCCAGAGTTAAGATGCTGAGAGATTTTGCTGTGTTGTTAGAAAGGAAAAGAGGTCAGGTGAAACAAACCCCAGAATTGGGCATATAAATGTTGGTCCTGCTACTTTAACTCTTCTGTTCAACGGCAAAGCTCACACTGATTTTAGAGGGGTAAAAACCGTTCCTTAGTTTGGTACGTAGGATGTGGGGATGCTTGTGATCCCCTCTGGGACTGTGCAAACTGACTCCATCAGCTCATCATCGGGGTAGGTCTGAGGAGTTACTGACATCTTGCAGCTGAATAGAGCTCTTGGAATGCAGCTCATTAAAGGCAGGTTGTTGGGCTGCATCTCCATTAGGACCAGCAGGTGCTGTGAGCCAGAGTCGGCAGTCGCAGGTTGTAGTGGAAGGGTTTGGTAGAGTTGACACAGACAGCTGTGCAGCGCTTCTGGGAGACGTCTTGTGCTGTTCCTGAAGATGACATCGGAAACAGTAAACATTTTATGGTTTTATCTGTCTTTCAAATTGAGCCCAGGCCTTCGCAGACTAAAAAGTAGGAAGACACCCTGCCATCAAAGATGCTAACATTTATTGCTTGTTTTAGAAAGTGCTCTGAGAAGTTCCCAAGGAAGAGAGATGAGCATTGCCTGTGGGAAGGACGAGTTTTTGCAGGCAATGCATGCATTTTCTGCCCCAGACCTCCTTGGCCATATTCAAATGCTTTGTGGGGAGTTTTTGGTTGTTTTTTTTTGGTGGGAGTGTCACAAAACCCATGATAAAAATATGAATTTTAAGATGTGTATCTTGTGTAAAAGGGCTCTGGTCACTGGTGGCTGAAGGCCTGGTAATCCTTATGTTGTCAGAGGGGCCCCTTGCAAAATTCGTGACAATCTACAGGACCCAGTTAGTTTCAAGGTAGGGGTAGAGTTCTGCAGCTCCATCTCTCATTAAGAATTGCGATAATGAGCACAGCCCTGAGTAAACTGCCTTCCACTGAATCAAATCATTCTGTCCCAGCCCACCTATAGATCTTGCGGAGCCGTAGCTCTTTGGATAAAGGGTTTTATAAGTCTCTGATGATGGTCATTTATCACTGTTCACAAGTTTCACTGAATGTGCACTGCTGGTATTGGTAGTCCTTTTGATCCACTGTGGAAAAAGGGTGAAAAATAACAGAAATTGAGAAACAGTCAAGGCTAGCCAAGGAGAAAAGCTGCCACAGAAGCTGGCAGATGATTCCAAGTTTTAAAATCTTCCTTCCTCTGTCATAAGCATTCTGTTTCTTGAAAGAAAGTGAAATTATTGCTAGGAAAAAAAAAAATCCAGAAGGAAACATGTTTGGAGAGCTGACTTGGCTGAAATTTTCCCTGCACATATACTCTTGACATACCAGTGCTTAAACTTTCTGTGCGTGCATGGAGTGGGGGAGGAGGGGGAGCAGGGAACAGTCAAATGGTAGTGGAGATGCCCCCATCTGTTGCATTATTTGAGCACGTAGAGATGCTCTTTAGCTCTCATAGTCCTTGCTATTTCAGTTGCCAGGTGGTCTCCCTGCCCGGTTTTCACATCAGAAACAACTGTGAAGGTTTTTTTTTTCCCCAGCATATGCAGGAGGAGGGATGCCAGCAGTCCCATCATTTTGCACAAGGCAATTGTGTGATATAGGCACATCTTATTTTAAGGGTTCCTTACATTAGATCTTGGGGATCTTTTTCCTTTTTTTATGAAATAGATACAGGGCAACCCCATGCACCCATGTCAGATGTAGTACTCGGTGCCTACCCGCAGGGCACAAAATGCTTCACTCCAGCCCCCTGCCTTCCTTCTACTTCAGTGCTCCCTGGAGCACTCAGAAATGTCCTCATCAAAAATCGTCTGACAAGGTCACCATCTAGATAGGAGAGGGCAGTAAAGCATCCTGTGCCCAGCCTTGTATCTGCAGAGCAGTTACTGTCTCTGGCACCAGGATATCTGTGTGCCTCGCCATCCTGGAGGTACCCCGTTTCACACACAACACCGCTGGACAGCCAGGCACTACGCCCCAACTTACAGGTGGCAAGGCATGGCCCAGAGGGGATCAGCAGCTTCCCAAGATCACACAGGGGGGTCCCCTACATGTCTGCACTGGAGCAAAGCACAGAGACTGCTTTGCATATCGGTTTGAGCGGGTGCAGCCGTTAGATGCAGCGGTGAAGGATGCAGATGAGAAGGCAGGATTTAAAGGCGTGTTGTGCTGGTACCCAGAGACTAGGGCTGTTAGGTACAGGCCGTTCTACAACTTCTTTGTTATATACTTTACGGATTTATTATATACAATACTTTACGGATTGTCCTGCCTCTGAACCATCCTCACTCAAATCATCCCGTGCCGACACACGCTGCAGACCTTGCAGAGCAGTAGCATTTTGGATCTAGACTGCTGCGAACCTCTGAGGGTGCCGATTTGTCGTTGCTGACACGCACGTTGTTTTTCTGACTTCCCTACTGCAGATCTGCGCAGGATGACAGCTGGCTTCATGGGCATGGCTGTGGCCATCATCCTCTTCGGATGGATTATCGGGGTGCTGGGGTGCTGTTGGGATCGAGGCCTTATGCAGTATGTGGCGGGGCTTCTCTTCCTCATGGGAGGTAAGGTTGTTGATGTTTGAAGAAATGTGTTTTCCTTGTTGTTTTCATGTGCTTTCTTTCCACATGTCCCTCCCTAAGTTGCTGAAAACATGTTTGCAGAGCTGGTTTAGGTGACCTGGGCTTGGTTTCATTCTGAGCTCCTTCTGGTTTACATCAAGGGTAGCCCAACCATAGTTACACAAAACAGTCTGTAAGTCATGGGACTGGAAATGACTTTCTGAGTTGTTTAGTCCAGCGCTCTACCACTGCAAGTAACACTGCCACCCTTAAACATAATAAGTTTAATAAACTTAATGATAAAAATCTGAGTATTATGCAGATGTTATTCCCACTGCTATCGTATTTCATAGCGACACACTTTGATAACTAGAAACTGTTCTCAAAAGTTTTCACCCGTATTTGTTCCTCATCAGTTTTCTTGAGTCAAATGCAACCTTTAATGTATGTGTCTCTTTTCTTTCTCTGATGTACCTATGAAAAGCAGCAGTACCCTCTGTTTTCCCTTTCCCACTCTACGTACGCTGTTTCTTGTAGACTTTGTGAGGCCAGTTATCAATCCAGCAGCCCGTTCTGCCTCCTGTCCTTGTTTACGCTTGCCTTTCTCACAGATGAGAAGGACTATTCCCAAACAAGGTCTAACCAATGCCTTGTATAAGTGACATGATGGTTCCCTTTCTCTGCTGGAAATCCCTTGCCTGAAGTACTTTGTGGTTGTATTTGCCTTTTTCATGCTGTGTCACACTGGAGACCCACAGCCATCCTTCACTTGGGTAATACATTCAAGCCTTTCTCCTCCTTTGTGATTTCCTACTGATGATGATCTCCCACTTTACAGCAGAGGTTCTGTTTATTATTCCCCAGGTATGTGCCCGGGCACTCTGTGCTCTTGAGCTTCTTCCGTTTCTACTACACCCGCCTTCAAGGTCACCCAGCATTTCCCTTGTAATGTTCTAGCCTCCCTTACTACAGATGGCATCCAACTTCCTGTTACAAGCAGGTTTCATGGCACACAGTTACTGTAAATGAAGGGTGTGAGTCCCAGACACAGCACTGGGTGAATATTTCAGAGTGAACAACACTATTTCTGTTCTCTCTTCTTTGCTCGGCTGGTGGGTTTTGTTTGGCTGGGATTTTGCCCCCCAGGCAGATCATCACTTCAGTGCATTTGGTCGCCTGTTCATCTGTACAGTGGTGTGACACAGCTTAGAGTGTGAAATACGGGAAAGCCTCTGTAGTCCCAGAAGAGGAGTTAAGTGCTCGAGTAACACATATTTTATGTTCCGGTGCTGGTGAGACACACTTTAGTTCTCTCTGTGCCCACAAACACATTTGAAGTTTGCTAGAACCTTGTGTGAGTACACACTGGGCTACGTGTGCATGTCTGTAAATGCCTTGTTGTGGGTGTCACTACGTATATGCAGCGAGCCTGTCAAGCTAGCTTGGCATTTCTTCTGTAATTAAAAGCTTAGTTTGCACAGGGGGTGTGTTCCTGTAACAGGTATTTATGTTCTTGTGTTCAGGTATTTAATGGTTGGACTTGATGATCTTAAAGATCTTTTCCAACCTGAAAGATTCTATGATCTGTGTGGTATGTAACTCACTACAGCACAACATTCAGATTAAAACATTAGGACCATACTAAATAACTACAGAAAAGTTAAATGTATTAGAAACTGAGTCTTGTTTACAAATTGGAAATTTTCACTATATATGGCAGAGTTTCTAGTGCAGCTGCAGAGATTAGTTATTGGCTTCGTGCTATTTAATAGTTTGTCAGTGATTTGAAAGATGGCTGATGAAAGTCTTCAAGTGAAACAAGACCGAGTGTAACCATGCATAGTAAGATGGGTCGCTCACAGTTTACAAAGCCATTTTTGGTATGCTCAAACAATACGCTTTTCAGTGGAGGCAGATTCAAGGTCATGCAACTGGGAACAAAAAGTGCCAGTCATTCCCGCGGAATGAGAGGCTGCCTCTCCGAAAGCAGAGGCTCTGAAAAGGTCTCTGGGATCACGGTTCCTGGGGTCATCCAGCTGCACAGGAGCTCTCTGTGTGATGAGGCTGCTAAGCGCCGGCTTTGATGGGAGTGTGCAATGAGAGCGTGAGGTGGGGTTATCTCTGGGCAAAGCAAAGCTATTTCTGGACATCCTAGTCTGGTGTCCCTACCAAAGGAGGATGCGGAAAGATGGGGAGGGGTTTGTAGAAGAGCTACACGAATGACTCAAGGTCTGACAAAACAGAGAAACGCAGCATGCCACAAAAAGCCAGTTGCTTGAAACTGTTTAACAGAAGGTTTATAATTTACTTGAACCCAGTGTGGAAGTACCTATGCAAGGAGATGCCATCTGATAGTAGCGTCCTCTTTGACTGAATAGACAAAATAGTAACAAGATCCAGTAGTTGGAATATGAAACTAATTGAAATGAGAGGCACCAGATTATTTTATCTGCCAAATTCTATCAAGATGTGTGCTATTGTTAATGTTGGGAGGAGATCAAACTTAGATTCTGTTCCAGCACAGACACATGGGTCAGGGTTACAAAAGGTTACTCTCTTGTTTTGCACAAGTCAGTGGCAACCGCTATACCTTTCGTGATTTCTTTTAACAGCAAACGTGCATAACGTAACATCTACAAACCAAAGCAGTCAGTTAATGAAATACACAATCAGAGCCATAGAACCATAGAATGGTTTGAGTTGGAAGGGACCTTACAGACCATCCAGTTCCAACCCCTCTGCCATGGGCAGGGACCCCTTCCACTAGACCAGGTTGCTCAAAGCCCCATCTAGTCTGAAAGTCAGGATCTGTCTGTTTTCGGACTGGGTCATACGTTACATAGTCATTCCTTCTATGTCCAGCGAATCTTTTAATGTCAACCTTTTTATTCCTGGTCAGTGTTTGAATATAAGCTTTTTACTTCTGTCATGGTGTAAATGCTGTCAAGATATCATCCTATTGGTCCTCAAAATGCACAGAGCCAGAGTGCCTCTTAGTTTTCTTTACCTTTTTCTATGGTCCAGTAATGGGAAAAATGCTTTGGGAGGCATATGGCACCTGACCTTGTTGCGGATGAGAGGAGACTGTGTTAAATTGGTAGCTGTATAATCAGCCTGAAATCTTCCGTTTGCAATGCTGCTTGTCTTGGCTACGTTTGTAACATTTGCTGTGCTTTAATTTCTAGACAAATAGCTCTTCTGTAATGATTAAACATTCCTGGCTTACCGTATATACGGGTTTTGTCCCTTATTGCCCATAATTCTTTGAAGAGGAAATCTCAGTGGGGCGCTGAGAAGTGTGCAGTGATAATCTAAAAAGACCAGACGTGGTTTCCCTGGACCTCCGGTTCTTTATTATATTTACCGGACAGTCTTCTTGCTAGCCCATGTGGCAGGGCCTAATAAGAACTCGCTTTAGCGTGCTTCATCTAATTTCTCAAGCAAATTGCTGAAATAAGTCATTTGTGAAATGCAGGCTGTTATCTAGTATTAGCTCATCTGGAATCCAGGACATGTAAACTGTGATTTAGAGTGTGTTTTACACTGTTATTCAGCATGTTTTGTAACAAGTTAATAATTATTAATAATTCATCTTTGCTGTTTAGTTCAAATGTGTCTGTATCAACAGCAATCGCAGGTCTCTTATGGCTTCCAAAGTTCTTTTGCATAATTTCCTGTATTGATTGTAGAATTTGTACCTGGATTTCTTATCTTAAACGACAGCATTTGCCTGACCACAGTAGGATTTTTTTTCAGTCCCTCATCTTGCACAGAGCCAGATGGATACTGCAAATTCTGTTTAGTATTTTTGACCTCATTTTGCATGATGGTAGTACTGCACAGCCTCCTGTACCCAGAGTTGCACTATCTGTTGTAGTTTCATTTCAGTATTGTTGGTACGATTTTATCCTGCAAGGTGGGAGAGTTTCTCTTTTGGAGAGTTTGTGCTCTTAAGTTTCACTAAGAATAGTTTATTTTCTGCATCTTATTTGAGACTATTTAATTCTATTACAGAAGTGGGTCATACTCAAATTATACATGACTCCAAGCACATCCTCCTCCAGCTTCTTGTGTTTTATCTACATGCAAATTATTAAAGATCTGTGCTCTGGTAAAAGCTCCATACTGGGCATGTCTTTCTGTATTTTGCAATTTTATAATAATTTCTGGAACCTTAGAAGCATCCATAATGCTACTTCCAAATGTCATAGTCCTGTGGTAAACTTGGTGCTTTTATGCACATCAAGTACGTAGTGGTACTCTAAAAGGAATTCAGTTAAACATCTCCCTGAAGAAGTGTATGTGAGACATTTTATATGTTGAGTTTTGACCGAAGTATATTTACTTGCACCCAAAATACATCTTAGTTTTTGAAATCTAGACATCACCTCCCCAACGGTACCCGGCAAGTAGTGCTCACATTTTCTGTCTTTGAGAAGTTATTTTAGCTGTATTCAAGTCCTTGACTTGTTTGTTTTTATTGTGAGACCCCACCTGGAGTGCTGTGTCCAGCTGTGGAGCCCCCAGCATCAGAAGGATATAGATCAGTTGGAACGAGTCCAGAGGAGGCCACGAGACCCTCTGCTATGGGGACAGGCTGAGGGAGTTGGGCTTGTTCAGCCTGGAGAAGAGAAGGCTCCGGGGAGACCTTATTGCAGCCTTCCAGTACCTGAAGGGGCTACAAGGAAGCTGGGGGGGACTTTTTACAAGGGCCTGTAGCAACAGGACAAGGGGTAACGGGTTTAAATTGGAAGTGGGGAGGGTTAGATTGGATATCAGGAAGAAGTTCGTCGCAGGGAGGGTGGTGAAGCACTGGAACAGGTTGCCCAGGGAAGCTGTGGATGCCCCATCCCTGGAAGTGTTCAAGGCCAGGCTGGATGAGGCTTTGAGCAACCTGGTCTAGTGGAAGGTGTCCCTGCCCATGGCAGGGGGGTTGGAACTAGATGGTCTGTGAGGGCCCTTCCAACCCAAACCATTCTGTGATTCTATGATTACCTTGGCAA